TGTCTGCCTGGATCGAGGACTGGTTCACCTGGCCACCAGTGGGGCTCGATGGGTTCTCCAAACGACTATACACTAATTCATGAAGCACTTTGTCATGGTGCTCCTTCCACTTCTTGGGCCTCCAGGCTGGTGGCGTCCGGCATCTTTGTCCCCACAGCTGGTCCTGCTCTTCCTCAAGGTTGATGGCTTTCACTGCAGATGTCAAAGCAGACACCTCTTCCTCACTGCTGAGAGAAAGACTCTGCTGCACCATCTGCTCTAAACGCTTTTCAAGGGCTTCATAGTCTGCAGCAAGCTTTTCTACTGCTTCCTCATGAGCTTTAAGTGCATCAGCCTCTGTTATCTCTCCAAACAGATGTTTCTCCCTGTCTATCAACAGTTGAGTGGCTTCGAACAGGTATTGTCCTTCAAGGCATTCCTCAAAAGTAGGAGTCACTGGTGGACAAAAACAAAGATAAATAATCTTCAAACAGTTCATATTTCTCTCAAAATAAGGTATTTAACATTTCTGGAGGAAATGGAGAACCTTATTTCTGTAATAGAGGTGTTTTTTTACACATCAGCACTATTTCGTGGAACAACCGTAACATCAATTTCCTTTCTTTTTTTAATATGTCACACAAAACACAATTTAGTTGAGATACAGAGGGTTAACAGGAAATAGCTAATAACAGCTGGATGTATGTCACCTACCAACTGGCCGCTCTTCTTCAGTAGGTGATTGGTGTCCATCAGTACTGGAAGGACTGTTGGGTTGACCCGTGGGGCTTCGCCAGAACTTTTTAAACCATTTTCCTCCAGCTCTTAAAGTTTGTTCAGGGGAACTGTTGGACGTGCCTGTTGTGGACGAACCCGGCTGTGTCCGCATTCTTCTCCAGGTCGTAAAACGTGACCAACAGGCCAAGAAAGGTGCTGACAAATCTGCAATTTAAAAAAAAAAATTCTGTTTTAATAAACATCTTTTTATATGATTGGCATAAACTAAACATTTTAGCCTTGTGTATACCATGACCGTGAAATTAAAAATAGATTAAATCCAATCTAATTACAACAATACGCCAAAGTAAGTCTGTAAAAAGTATTTTTGTTGCCAAACAAACTATCCACATTATATATATCAAAAAATTCATTCAGATTCTACTCACATAAACTTCACAGTCACTGCTTTGAAAGTAACTGCAGCTGCTGTGAGCTTTTATGCCTAAGAGACAGGCTCCTCCTGCTCTGACCCACAGAGCCACACATGTAATCCCTCCCCTTCCAAAGCGCACACACACACACACACACACACACGTGCGCACACACACACAGAAAGCTGTGCTGTTTTTAGAGCTAGGACAGGAGCATTCTTCTTATGTGGCTTCTGGACCAACTTCTCTTAACAGGGACTTTGTCGACTGTTAGGAAATGTTGTACAGTCTTTCATACTTTCTTTATGACTTTCATGATCCTGTACTTTTATTTTTATGCCATTAGCAAGTCAATTGCACAACAACACTAAAAGCTCACTAGAATGTTATGTTTTTAGCCATTTAGTGTTTATTTTGTAACCAACTAAAACTGATGGCCAGAAAAAGTGTAAAAAGGTGATGATCCTTATTAAACATTGACCAGCCTTAAGTACACCGTCAGTGTTTTTTTGTTTTGTTTGTTTTGTTTTGTTTGTTTTTAAAGAAAAGATATTATAATCAGTATGACTCACTTATTTGTTAGACTCCTAAATAAGCTAAAGGTGGAAGTTTGTGATTTTGTGAAAGTAAAAAAACAGAACCATGACAACTAATACTGCCAAACCTCAACCCAGACCACCACACTTAACCAGATGGGTTGGAGGTCAGACAGTCGAAATGTGTGTAGTATGTTTTGGATGGCACTAACAAATAAAGACTTTTGCTTTTGTTTGGTGACTCAGTGAAACATCGAGCTGACTGTTATGACAGGCAAACATAAAAGCAATTAAAATAAAATGGTTGAAAACATATCTGAACAAGTACTAAAATGATTTTTCTGTTGTTACAGCAGCATTCAGGACCAGAATAACTAATGGAGTCACAAAAGTAAATGATGCTTTAACTTGGTTTGGGTATCAGTTAATTATTAAAGGTTTATTTGTACATGTGAACAGACTCTTTAGATCTGTTATTCTGTTTTAATACAGAAAAAGTCCAGTATGACTTACTTACTTACTTAGGTTTCATATTGTTCTTTCTGGTGTTTACATTGCATCTTTTAAACGACTGACATCCACTTTGACCTTTCTGCTGCTGTGTGGATACACACTGCAGATATATCTTTTACTAAGTCAAACTAACATTTATCCAGGCCTGGGTTACAGAGGGCTGCAGTCTACACAGAAACACCCAGATCTCTCTCTCCCTAGCTCTTCCAGTATAGGGAACTGAGCTGTTTCCGGGCCATCCAGGAGAATCTCTCCAGTGTAGGGGTGTGCCTGAGGGCCTTATCCCAGCTGGATATGCTTGAAAGCTCTCACCTAGGAGGCACCCTAGTCACAAAACACCCACATTATCTGTAAAAAGGTGCTTGCTCAGGTAGTCCAGCAGGTCGTTTACCAGTTGGAAGGTCTGTGGATTGATTCCTGGCTCCTCCAAACTGCGTGTGGAAGTATCCTTGGGCAAGATACTGAACCCTGAGTTGCTCCTGATGCATTCATCAAAGTGTTAGTGTGTTCATGACTGAGACTTTGGCATCAAACACCATTTCTGCAATTTGTATGAGTCCTACTGTACTGTCAAAAGGACACAGTGGACTTCTATGTTGATGCCACATTAGTGGCGGTTGGGCAAACAGAGTACACAGACTTTCTGTTCAAATTAAAAGGAACAACAGCTTGGTCGGGCAGAAAGGATTTTACTCAACATTATGGAGAAGGTGCCAGGAGATGAGTTGGAGCAAGGCAGGATCAGAGCGCTCTGAAGGCTTTAAGTATTATGATGTCTATATGGAGAAATGACAACAACACAAACCCCTGCGTAGGCTCCTCTAAACCTTTTAGCTCCTTCCTCTGTTGTGCTATATAAACACCAGTCCATTTAAGATGCCTTTCTTTCTTTATCCTGATCTGGGAGATGTAATTATTGGACTAACAAAAAGAGAACGACAAGCTCACACTCGTACACTTTGGGAGGAAATCCACGCAGGTGCAGGAAAAACATGCAAACGCTCCACATGAAGGCCCTGCTTGTTGTTGTAGAGCGCTAACCACTAAAGTGAGGCACAAAAGGTCAAAACAAGTTTTATTTTCTTGCTCTGGTGTTTTTTCAGATCTAAGGCAATTGTTCTTCCCCTTCAAGGCCCTCTATGATTTCATACAAAATTGCAACAGCAATTGAGAAACATTCAAAGTGTCTCTTTTGCAATTTAAATGACTTCAACTGATTTTTATAGTAACATTTTTGTCAGTTAAAAGTGTCAGCCACATTCGACCTGTGTGTTTTTTTTACTGCCTATAACTTAAATCTCCTGCTGTGATACAGTAACAGTTTTTCTTACCCTTCACTCTGCAGGATCTGCAGGATCTGCAGGATCTGCGGGGGAAGCAGCGGGGAAATGTCGAACACATTTTCCTTAATGCAGCAACTAACAGCCGTGTCTCAGCAGCAGTGATGGGAATAACGGCGTTACAAGTAACGGCGTTACCTTTTTCACTAATGAGTAATCTGGGTTACCGTCACTAACAAGAAAATGCAGTGCGGTCGCCTTACTATTTTTCAACAAGCAGACGGTCGAAGCTGTCTTCAGCTTCCCGCATCTTATATCACTTCCATGTAAGTAGCTGTCTACTAAGTAATCTGGGCACAACAGCTTTAAGCAGCTGGGCGCGCTCCCGCAGACGGTTATCACTTTCTGGCAGACATCACTTTTTGGCACAACACCTCGAGCTAAGGGGGCAAAACAATCGCATGAGTGCTGCTGTTTGACTGAGGAAGAATAAAGTAGTCGTGGTAAGCCAATCACATGACCACTTCAAGATGACAAAGCAACAAGGTGATATTTACCAGTTTTTAAATTGTGTTGATAGGCCACGTAAAACCAGAGTCATGATAAACAATATACACGCGTGTTTTTTCCTGAATACTTTCATCATTTTTACTGTCTAAGGACAGCGCAGCGAGCACTCTCTGCTTATGAGCAAAAAATTAAAAAACAAACAAACCAAAAAACAGCCCGTTCCTGTTGGTGGAAAAATGCACCATGTCGACCAATCAAAAAATGATATGGCAACATGACATTTGGTTGTTTAGGGAAGTTTTAGGAGTGACGGCGAGAGAGAGAGAGAGAGAGAGTGAGTGAGAGAGAGAGAGCGAGTTTGGAGATGTGAGATTTGTGACGTTTAGCGTGTTTGTAGTGTGTAGTTAATGTGTTGTCTTGTGTAGTTAGTGTGTAGTGTTGTGGATAGTTTTGTGTTGTGTGTCAGAACAATGAGGCGACTGCTGTCTCCAGGTAGAAACAGGAGTGATACACCTGCTGCTGTCAGACCTGCAGGTATCAGGCTGTGATGTTCTCCTTTATGGTGGACAGAAATGATTGTTTGGAGTGGCACAAATAATTTGTGTGGCATCTTATTGAATGCAGAACAGCTGATTGTTATATAAATAGTTTGAAATGGTTATTTAAAAAGGGGCAAAAGGTAAATGGCTGCAAACAGCTTTGTTGTTTGCAAAACTTGTGCATAGGATTTTAAAATTGACAATTTATATTTGCATTTAAAGTTATGAAATATGATTCATTAAACATGTTTGTGGTTGTTACATTAAAAATATAACCTTTTCTACTCTGATTTTATGTTTTTTGTTTGATTTTAGATCAATTGTGTTAATACAGTATATCAAAATGAAAACATAACTGTAAATTCAGACACGTGAGGTTGTGCTGAAAAGGATGAAACCAAACAAGGTAAAGTAAATAGTTTTTAAAGGTGAAATGTAGAGGAAACATCAAAAGTAGTTAAAATGGCCAATTACACTCTGGACCCCAGAGGGTTAAACTTTTTTTTTTAAAGTAACACAATAGTTGCTTTTCAAGTAATTAATTACTTTTAGAATATTCTAACTCAGTTACTCAGTTACTTTTTTTGAAGTAACTAGTAACTATAATTAATTACTTTTTCAAAGTAACTTGTCCAACACTGCTTATTATAGACATTAACTGTAACTTCATTCCCTGTCTGTTGCCAGTGCTATTGCTGTTTTTTCCACATACGATAAACCGTACAGTTAGTTTACATGGGGATCATCTACTAAACAAAGTAAACAGTAAAAAAATTGAGCTGATTTTTGCACATTTATTAAATAAACTCAACTTACATCTATTTATGTACATGAGACATTTATAATTCTCTGTAATACTTTTTATGGCATGAAATACAACTTTGTAGTTTTTAAACAAAACGACATATAATAGAACAACACTGACCTGTTTGTAAGTGTGCAAAAACAGACACTTGCATACTTATTTACAGTTTATATGAAATGCACAAAAATTACCAGCATGAATGTGACATCTAGCTTATGTATACAGTAACATACAGTGACTACAGCGAGCATTCACCATCACAGAGTCTGCGTATAATCGGGATTTCAGTAACATCTGAAGGTTTTTCCATGACATTCACTCTGTATGTCTTTACAGAGATAGACTGTAACACAATATAATACACAATAATATTGCTGCTGTGCAACCAAACTCTCAGTCAGTGATACTCTAAGAAGCAAATGTGCGGCTCATCTCACTTTAACTTTGGAGAAAAACTTCCGGGTTCCAGCAGCACGGCTCTCCTTCAGTGTGTCCGACAGAGTGGTTTTGACGATTTTCCTGTCGGCTTTGGAGAGGTTTCTCTTGAGTTTGAGCAGAGCCGAAACATGTTTTTCACTGTTGGTGACAGAAAGAAGAAAGGGTTAAAAAAAGTGATGATTTTCTTGTGAAAGCTGCCACATTTGATATAGAAAAGAAAAAAATATAAAGAAATGAGTTTGAGCATTTTTTTCAGCTAAATATAATCTGCAATGTTTTATTTCACTTTCAACATAAGAATAACAGAAAAAGTTATATCTTCACTGATCCCGTCAAGACTTGTGTTTCATTGCCATGTTATGTCTTTTCTGTGTGTAGCCAGTTTTCTGCCCCTGACACACATCCTTCCTGCAAACACTAACAGCTGTCATTAGCACATCACCACACCTCTTTGAATTGCTGAGAAGAGGGGAGATGGAAAATGTGACTCAGTCCACCTCTGTTGGAAATCTGACAATAGGTGGAGCTCTTACTGAAATGGATCCGTGCCTCAAATGCATGTGACTCTCCGAATATGAACTATTTTTTACCAAATAACTCTTCCATAAAACTCTTATTCAGCATAAACATATATGAGTGCTATCAAGAGCAGTGTTTATGTCTCCTGGTTCCCTTCTTCCTTTTTCTTTAAGGTTAGAAATAAAACCAAAACTAGACAGTTTGATTTTCCGGTGGAAGAAATTTTTCATTTAACTCTAATTAACAGCATTATTGACTTCATCTACTCACAGCTGCTGCTGCTTCTCTCATGCCAACATGTTTTATTTAGTTCTCTGTTACAGTGCACTATCAGTGAAATTGGTAATGTAAAATAGAAAGGCAGCACATCTACTTTTAGCTCATGTTAGTTCCCATGAATGTAGCTCATCCTGCTCACAAGAGCTGAAACCAATTAAGATGTTTCGCTCTGTCTACTTCCTGTTTTCCCTCAGCTCTCTCTGAAAAGCACGATTGTTTATCCTGACCTAATGTCTCACAAACCTCTTATCATGATATAGTTCTTTACACTTCTTCAGTTGTTTATGATACACCAGGCCCAAAAAACGAGAGCACATTACATTTGTGTGAGTTATACTCTGTATGTTTCTGTATTAAAGTAAATAATGTCTGAGTCAATTCAAAAGTTACCTGAGGTCGGGATAAGCAGATCCCAGTGAAACGATTTGCATCTGTATGGCAGGAATATCTTGGAGTTTTAGCACTTCTGCAATGTTGGTCAGGATTTCCTTTAACCAATCTTGTGTGGATCCCTGTGAAGACAAATTAGTGACGTCAGTTTAGTCTGCAAGTTTCCTCAGACTGTAATCAGCATAGCTGCTGTTTTTGGAAATAATGATGTTTTTCCTTCAGGAGCTATAGTACTGGAACTTCCAGCTAGCTGGGCAGTAAATGTGAATCTAAATTATTTCAGTTAAACAGACTGGAATTTTGCTACAATTCTTACCCAAAATCTTGTACTGCAAGTGGCAAAGGATCTTGTTCCATTTAATAATATTATAATCCCTGTCTCATAATTGTAACTCCTTGTCCTCTCACCATTCCAGATCCAATATCTATTGACAAATGTCTTTTATCTATTTCTTACTGATTTTTCTTTTTCTTCACTTCATTTTGAAAGTAAAACCAAAGTAAGAGGATAAATTTCAGAACTTTAATGTAGTTTTGAAATTTATTTTTTTTATTTTTTTATTTTTTTTAATGGTTTTTAAAATGGTTCTTTTATTATTGTTAGTTGAATTTGTGACTAAGGTTGTTTCACCCTGTCAAACAATGTTATGCTGATCAGTGTTTGTGCTTGATTGAGTTTATTTGTGTCTCAGCTAAAGTGTGCAGTGAAGGTAAGTCTCACCATTCTGGCAAACAGCTCGTGCAGTCTCTCTGCATTTTCTTTCACAGTCATGTAAGCCTTCTGCTGACGATCCTTGTCCTTCAGTTTGACCTCTCCTTTTAGGAGCCTCCGGACATATTCTACTGTCATTTCCTGCTGAAGCCGACCAATCAGCTCCTGAATTAAAGTAACAAGATCATATTTTAGTCCATTGATTTAAAAGTTGGTAATAATGGCTTCATAGCAAAGTTTCACGCTGTCATGTTTCTACCTGATGACAGGATTGACTCGAACCCTGAAGTTCTTGAAGCTCGTCTTCAGTGCTGTTCAGCAGCTTCTCAAACGTGTTCTTCTTCAGCCAGTCACTGGTTCCCACCTTCTGGTAGTGTGGCTGTGTGAGGAACAAATGTAAGGCATTTTGTTGATCTCCAAAGATGATAGCTGAAATTAAGAAAAACTGCCTCTAAATCTGTTGTAAAGAACTTACCTTGAGGCTCTTATGCACAGGGGTTAATAAATAAGTGAGGGCAGACTGTTTCATCTCAGTCAGGACCTGCAAACAGTTTTCCTGCACATCCTCTGGGAACAGATCGTGCTTCACAAGGAAGTCCCTTTAGACAGACCACACAGGACACATCAGCTCACAGTGACGTATTCGCCTGTTATGATGAAGTTAAAATCTGAATTTCTATCTAACTGGATCAGAAACATACCTGAACTGTTCGACACAGCTGAGGTTTGCTTTTATGAAAGCTTTGCTGTGCCGTTTGTTCTGCCTTATGATGTCTTTGTGAAATTTTTGATACCTGCAGAAGATTAAAAACAGTTTTCACTTTTATTATCTTGTTTTTACCAAACATAAAACCAAAATGTATTTCAAATGACAATATTTAAAAGACAGCCTTGTGAAGCCTTGTTACCTCTGCATGAAGTCTGTCAGGTTGGATGTTATTTCCTGGGCCTTGTGTCGGTCTCTTACAGTTATATGTGCTGATGTCACGATGCCGTTGATAAACTGAAGACAAATTGATTGACAAATCAGTGGCAGTTTTAAGTACTCAAAGCCCTTTACACAGCAATGCACTTCCATCATATTCAGATCCAGTTAAAGTAACATTGTTATGTAATTTTTTCACCACAACAATTTTTATTGCACAGTTCTGACGTAGCAATGTATCCAAAGCCTCTCATCATGGTCAACAATTAGAAGTCAACAAATGCATGACTCACCAGAGATGGGCAGTAATGCGTGTTACTGTAATCCGATTACTTTTTTCAAGTAACGAGTAAAGTAAGGGATTACTATTGCAAAAAAGGTAATTAGATTACTGTTACTTTCCCGTAAGCATGCTGCGTTACTGCATTACTAAAACCATGATTTTTTTGTGAGCGCCTCATGACAATGACGTAAGCGAGCGCCACGATCGTGGCAACAGCTGTGTGCAGATCAAGAATGTATAATTGTCACTGTCGCTACCCGATCCGTACCAGAAACCCGAACGGTACCCCACATGCACAAATCTTACGTCACTTCCTCTCTTTGCCAACATTGCGACAGTTAATGTATTTGAGTGACACGGTTAGCGCCCAGTTAGCTCATAGCATTTCTCAACAGCTGATTTAGTGATAGTCGAGTGTGTTTATGCTTTTCTGTGTAGAGAGAATTGTCGGAATAGTGAGGATGATGTCCGCTATCACTGTCAATCGTCAGTAAACACTTAATCTGGCTGATGAATCTTCACGTGACATATTACTAAGTCAGTATTATTAAGTCTGTAATTAGGCGCCATTCTTATTTTACAGCGCTGTTGTTCAATTGGGGGACGCACTCTGTTGAGGAGAAAAGCATGAATTTGTTTATATACGGATTATACATTGTTTAAATGTCCCGGGCTGTCAAAAATGAGGCAGAGCTGTTGAGAAATGCTATGAGCTAACTGGGCGTCACTCAAATATATTAAATGTCGCAATGTTGGCAAAGAGAGGAAGTGACATAAGATCTGAGCATACGCGGTACCGATCGGGTTTCCGGTACGGAGAAAAAAAAAGAGACTTTTCCATTTGATTACATTTTGTATGATGGATTAGGCAGAAAGTAGAATTGGGCTGAAAGATCTATCGCTTTATCACCTATTCAGGTTGTAAATCATGTTTTTAAAAAGTAACTAAGTAACTAATTACTTTTGAAAATAAGTAATCAGTAAAGTAAAAGGATTACTTTTTGGGGGAAGTAATCAGTAATTACTTACTAATTACTTTTTTCAAGTAACTTGACCAACACTGTGACTCACTATAAGGATCCTTGAAGTTGGCCACCACAAGTGACGCCTTTCAATTTATATTAATACATTTTTTTAAAAAGCATTGATTTCAGCCTCTTTAACATTATGTTGTTGCAGCAACTCTACCTGGATGACATCATAGGCCACAGGACTGGCGTAGCAACCATCATCTCTTCTCGGCTCCTTTCCTTGATCCCACTCTTTCTTTGCTTCATCCAATACTCGGCCAATATAAATCATCAGGTCGCTCTAAACACACAACAACACACAGCTGCCACTTTTAAACCGCTTTCATGTGTAAAGATTTAATTACTGACAGTAATAATTACATCTGCAGCATTATGTTCAAAAAAACATCCACCAAAATCAGCAACTCTTTGATGCTTGACTTGCACATCTCACTTTAAGCCCTGCATTGACCATACTGATTAACTGGATACATGTCTTAGATACACTGTGTTACCTGTTGTTTGCTGAGGTACTGCTCCTCCAGAGGTTTCAGTAACTCGTCAGGAAGCAGGTTTCCCAGCGCTTCAGTATTGATATTACTGGCCAGCTCAGGTTTTTCAAGGATTCTGATACACAGAGCAGATAACACACGAGTTTCTATAAACACCCCAAGTTGTGTTTAGTCTACAAAGATGACATTTTATTTAGCACATTAAGAAAACAAGTAATTAGCCGTTACATTTGTATTATTATTCACTATCTATCTGTAATTGTTCAGGTATTTATTCTTCAAGGATCAATGAAGGACCTCACACTGACAGACATCATCATGTTTAGCCACAGAAAGATGCTGCTTCAAACAATAATTGAACTGGTGGCTTACCCTGGATAAAACTCCTTCACCCATCGCAGGAGGAAGCTGCGGTCCTTGTCATCCAGAACAAAGTCTGCAATCTTTTTGAGTCTTGCGCTGAAAGTTTGATGGTACTGTCTTGCATAAAAGTTACAGATGTCCATCTCTGGTGGGTAGCAGTTCTTCACCTCCTCCACCACCCACTGCAGGTCCTCCTTCAGCTGCCTGCCCATGGACTGGACGTCTGCTCGGATAGGCGACTGGTTCACCTGGCCACCAGTGGGGCTCGATGGGTTCTCCAAACGACTATACACTAATTCATGGAGCACTTTGTCATGGTGCTTCTTCCACTTCTTGGGCCTCCAGGCTGGTGGCGTCCGGCATCTTTGTCTCCACAGCTGGTCCTGCTCTTCCTCAAGGTTGATGGCTTTCACTGCAGATGTCAAAGCAGACACCTCTTCCTCACTGCTGAGAGAAAAACTCTGCTGCACCATCTGCTCTATACGCTCTTCAAGTGCTTTATGGTCTGCATTTAGCTTTTCTACTGCTTCCTCGTGAGCTTTAATTGCATCAGCCTTGGTTATCTCTCCAAACAGATGTTTCTCCCTCTCGATCAGTTGTTGAGTGGCTTCAAACAGGTATTGTCTTTCAAGGTATTCCTCAAAAGTAGGAGTCACTGGTGGACAAAAACAAAGATCAATAATTTTCAATCAGTTCACATTTCTCCTAAAACAAGGTGTTTATTACTTCTGGAAGAAATGGAGATGGTTATGCCTGTTGTGGATGAACCCGACCAGGTCCGCATTCTTCTCCAGGTAGTAAAAAGTGACCAATAGACCAAGAAAGGTGCTGACAAACCTGCAATTAAAAAAAAAAAAAATCAGTAAGTTAAAAAACCCTACTTTCTCTGTCTTAATATAATTTTTTTCTATGATTGCCATAAACTAAACATTTTAGCCTTGTGCACATCATGAATCACCAATCAAAACCATAAATCTGCAATACAGGCATTACTATTTTTTAAATTTTCAATAAATAAATACAATGATTTCTGCTTTATAAATCAATTATCACCAGCACCGTAACTTAACTACATGATAAAAAAACACAATAACAAAAAAACTGCAATGTTTCATGCACGAAAGAAGACGAAAAAACACTTTTTACAGAAGAACACATTTAAAAATGAGACATAAACAACATCAGCCCTAACACAACAAAGAGAACTACTGAAATCATCCAATCTAATTACAAGAATACGCCAAAGTAAGTCTGTAAAAAGTATTTTTGTGGCCAAACAAACTATCCACATTATATATAAATATATAAAAAATCATTCAGATTCTACTCACATAAGCTTCACATTCACTGCTTTGAAAGTAACTGCAGCTGCTGTGAGCTTTTATGCCTCATGAGACAAACTCCTCCTGCTCGGGCGATGTAGGGAAATTTCAGAGAGACACACTGAGCCACATATGCAATCCCTCCCCTTCCAAAGCACACACACACACACACACACACACACACACACACAGAAAGCAGTGCTGTTTTTAGCATTAGGACAGAGGGCAGCAGTCTACACAGATACACCCAGACATCTCGCCCCAGCTCTTCCAGTACAGGGCACTGAGCTGTTCCCGGGCCATCCAGGAGAACCTCTCCAGTGTGATGGGGGTTTTCATGCAAGATAATTTCTCAGACATATCAGATGTAGAGGATTCCTTACTAGTTCAATAAGCAAACCTCTTAAAATGAGAATTTTTACAATTAACATATCATAATTGTCACGGGATGCCGGGGCAAGCCGTGTGAGAATTATTTAGGACCCAAAATGCAGCAGCTCTGGTGCAAGTGAGTTTATTTAACCAAAAATGGATACAACAGGGATGGCGAGTGTGAACGTGACACTAAGAAAACCTAAACTGGGAAAAACTAACAGAAACTAACCAGAAACAGATATGCAGTGAGGTACGGGGAAATACACAGAAAGACGCAGACGAACCAGCAATAACCAGGAGAACACACAGGGCTTAAATACACACAGCAGTAATCAGGGGATGGGAGACAGGAGGGCAACACACCTGGGAGAAATCACAACTGACGAGGCAGGGAGATGAAAACTGAACACACTGACATCAGACAGGGACCTTCAAAGTAAAACAGGAACACATACACGCAAAGACACAGACTAAGAAACGCGAACTAAACACAGAGACCTTACCACACAAAAGGGAATACACAGGCATGGATGACACCAAACAGAGGGAACACAACTAAACCCTGGGAAACCAAAACACAACAATCAATACATAAAACTATCAAAAGTAAAAGTACAACAACCAAAAACACTGGGTCACTGACCCAGGACCATGACAATAATACTTAATATAGAGATAAACTATAACTTAATTCTCTGTCTGTTGCAGTACTGTTGCTGTTTTTCCACATACTATAAACCCTACAGTTAGTTTACATGTGGATCATCTACTAAACAGAGTAAACAGTAAAAACAAATTGAGCTGGTTTTTGCACATTTATTAAAACAACTGAACTTACATCTATTTATGTACATGAGACATTTATAATTCTCTGTAATACTATTTATGCCATGAAACACAACAAATACTAGACTTTAACACCATTGTAGTTTTTAAACAAAACAACATATAATAGAATGACACTGACCTGTCTGTAAGTGTGTAAAAACACACACTTGCATACTTATTTACAAACATGCATTTTACAAGAAATGCAAAAAAATTACCAGCATGAATGTGACATCTAGCTTATGTATACAGTAACATACAGTGACTACAGCGAGCATTCACCATCACAGAGTCTGCGTATAATCGGGATTTCAGTAACATCTGAAGGTTTTTCCATGACATTCACTCTGTATGTCTTTACAGAGATGGACTGTAACACAATATAATACACAATAATATTGCTGCTGTGCAACCAAACTCTCAGTCAGTGATACTCTGACAAGCAAATGTGCGGCTCATCTGACTTCAACTTTGGAGAAAAACTTCCGGGTTCCATCAGCACGGCTCTCCTTCAGTGTGTCCGACAGAGTGGTTTTGACGATTTTCCTGTCGGCTTGGAGAGGTTTGTCTTGAGTTTGAGCAGAGCCGAAACATGTTTTTCACTGTTGGTGACAGAAAGAAGAAACGGTTAAAAAAAAGTCATGATTTTCTCTATGTAAAGTCAGAGACTGTGAAAAAAGGATTGTCATGTGAAAGCTGCCACATTTGATATAGAAAAGAAAAAAATATAAAGAAATGAGTTTGAGCATTTTTTTTTAGCTAAATATAATCTGCAATGTTTTATTTCACTTTCGACATAAGAATAACAGAAACGTTATATCTATATCTATTATATTTTGTTACCAACCAAAACGGATGGCCATAAAAAGTGTAAAACGGTGATGTTGTGTTCATGTTTAGTCATTTACTGAATTTGGAGCCATCCGAGCTTTAGCGGCAATTATCATCATTAAACACGTGTGATGGCATATTTCTTTTCTGATGTATTAATCACATACTGTAACCATTTCACATTAGTAACAGTAATCTCACTTCCTCACTTTAGTATAGTATGCATGCATGTAGAATGTCATCACAAGTAGGCCCCAAGTTTTATTGCACCTTCACGGTGGACCCATTGTAGACTTGAATATCTGCAGACATCCTGGAGGTGACGGTGGTCAAAACTTTTCTTAGAGTGGGCGGGGGTCAAGGATGAGCTGGACTGAAGGTACAGGGATATGTGATGTGCTGTGGAATGCTCTTTGTTTGAGAGTGTCTTTGTGGGTATAGAAGATGAGCAACACCAACCAAATTTCAGAAATGATCTTAGTGTTTGGGTGGGACGTTTCTTTCCACATTGCAATGTGTTTATTAAACCCACTTCAAATCAAGCTCACTGAGTGTGTTGCAGGTTATTGTTAAAATTTCCACAACAACCTCTCTTTTTCTTTCTTTGCTTGATTTTTAAAAGGAAAGATATTATAATCAGTATGACTCACTTATTTGTTAGACTCCTAAATAAGCTAAAGTTGGAAGTTTGTGATTTTGTGAAAGTAAAAACACAGAACCATGACAACTAATACTGCCAAACCTCAACCCGGACCACCACACTTAACCAGATGGGTTGGAGGTCAGACAGTCGAAATGTGTGTAGTATGTTTTGGATGGCACTGACAAATTAAGACTGTTGCTTTTGTTTGATGACTCAGTGAAACATCGAGCTGACTGTTATGACAGGCCAAAAGAAAAAAAAAGTTGATGAAAACACATCGGGGATTTTGCAAAAGCTGAACAAGTAATAAAATATTTTTTCTTTCTGCCAAATGATATAACCTTGCCATATAATATCTTGTTGTTACAGCAGCATTCAGGACCAGAATAACACGCTAATGGAGTCAGGGTCACAAAAGTAAGTGATCCTTTAACTTGGTTTGCTATCAGTTAATTATTAAAGGTTTATTCATACATGTGAACAGACTCTTTAGATCACTTTGATCATTTTAATACAGAAAAAAATCAACTATGACTATTACTTTATTGACATTCAACAGAAACTTAAGCCATCACGTACTTTGGTTTCATATTGTGCTTTCTGTTGCTTATGTTGCATCCTTTAAATGACTGACCTCCTTTCTGCTGCTGTGTGGATACTCACTGCAGGTATATCTTTTACTAAGTCAAACTAACATTTATCCAGGCCTGGGTTACAGAGGGCTGCTGTCTACACAGAGACTCGAAACGTGCCCTAAGCAATTCCAGGAAGAAATCGAGGAAAAGAGGCTGTAGGGGCGGCATCCAGGTACACATCAGACGAGCCTACAGATCTGAGATTTCCCGACTCGTCTGGAGGCGTCCCCGGTTTCTGCTGCCAGTTACCCTTCCGGATTTGATTGGAAACACGTACTTGCAGCCACTACAGCGTGGATCCTGCCCATCTGATGCTCTGGATTTTGCCGATTATCTCCCCACCGCTGCACCCTCACAGCCTGCATCGCACAACCGGTGGTTGGTCCCGCCGGTTCCGTGGCGCTGCTGGAGACCTTGCGTGCGGACACAGTGTTTGCTGTCAGTTCCACTCCGACAAGCTGATGGGAAACCTGCGCTGCCAGCTTTTAATCGGATTGCGCTCTTGAACGCCCGCTCCGCCGCCATCCTTCTCTCTGAATGAGCTCTTCACAGGGAAAAACCTGGACTTTCTGTTTCTCACTGAAACATGGCAGAGGGATGGCGAGTTTATTCACCTAAACGAAGTGTCATGCAGACTGCTCTTACTTGGGTGCCCCCCGTTTAGGTCGCCGTGGTGGAGGACTTGCTGTTGTCTTTAAGGTCAGTTTCACCTGCAGAGGAATGCAAACTGAAAACAATTCTTCTTTTGAGTCGCAAACAATTAAGGTGGGCTCTACGAACGTCTTTTATTGTGTTTTAGTCTATTGCTCTCCTGGCCCTGCTACTGAGTTCTTAAAGGATTTTACGGACTTCTTATCTTCTATTATCAAGCTGGAGAACATTTTAATTCTTGGGGATTTTAACATTCATATTGATGATGCCTCATCTAACTCTGCAGCTGAACTTTTATCTATATCTGAGTCTTTTAACTTTGTCCAACATGTCTCCGGTCCAACCCATTTAAAAGGCCATACCTTGGACCTTGTTTTTTCCTTGGGCCTCAACATTGGCAATGTGTTTGCTGAGGATGTACATTTGAGTGATCATAACTGTATCTTCGTTGAACTCAATTTTAGCTCTAAACAAACGCCTGTGAAGTTAAAAACTCATAGACGCATAATAACTGAGACTACTGCTGAGAGGTTCTCCATTATGTTTGACAGTTCTCTACTTTTTACCGGAAATGATGTAAATGTTCTTACTCAGTCTTTTAATAGGGAATGCACATCGATTTTGGATCAAGTGGCACCTATTAAAACAAGCTCGGCTTTACAAAAGAAGACATGCCCTTGGATAAATGAGTCTATCTTAAACTTAAGGAGAATATGCCGCAAAACAGAACAACTATGGAAGAAAACCAAACTTGACTACACAGGCTCCATCTTCGAGATCTCATGCTCTCCTTAAATAACACGGTGAAAACTGTTAGATCAGAATATTTTTCTAGACTCATATCAAAAAACAAGAGAAATCCCAAGTTTCTTTTTGACAAAATTAGTGCTATTGTCTCCCCAGATGTGATACCTTTAGATGTACACCCTAAAGTAGATAGTAATAAACTCCTCCGATTTTTTGTTGATAAGATTAAAGACATCAATGCTAAAATCTCCCCAAAGGTTTCTTGTTCTCCGAGTCAGGCACTCCCTTTGTACTCCTGATCGACTTTTACAACTGTTACATATGATGAAATAGCAGCCCTGGTGGACAAAAGGAAGCCATCCTCAAGCCCCTCAGACATTATCCCCACTAAGCTTTTCATCAATGCTTTTGACACCATTGGTCCTTGGGTTGTGAACCTTTTTAATGTTTCCCTTCAGACTGGGGTGTTCCCCAGCTTTTTTAAACATGCCATTGTGGAACCAAGGCTCAAAAAACCCAACCTGGACCCAACACTATTTCAAAATTTAAGACCTATCTCCAAACTCCCATTTATGTCAAAACTCCTTGAGAAGGCGGTAGCTGTCCACCTATACTTGGAGAAATATAATATCCATGACCGTTTTCAATCTGGGTTCCGTAAATTGCACTCCACTGAGACAGCACTACTGAAAGTTACTAATGATATTATGATGTCAACAGACTCCGGAGAATACACAGTCCTAGTCTTGTTAGACCTTACCTCAGCCTTTGATACAGTCAACCATACCATCCTG